GGCCTATCATATAGATGTCGATCACCCAAATTTCATATTAAAAATTTTGCACCCCTGATCTGCGTGACAAATCGTGTAACTGATAGTTGAAAATTGCCGACCACTAAAATTTTAACCTGTTTTAAAACAATGTGTTTGGTTGATTTTAGAGATGTGCCTCTCGCGCGAAATGCTGATATCATTCAATTGATTCTCGCGCGAGATTATATAAATAATTTATTATGACATCAGCATTTCGCGCAAGAAGCACATCTCTAATTGATTTACCTGCGTCAAATTTCTGCACTACATATCGATATTATACGTTTAATCAACTTTAAAGTAGAATAACTTTCTTGTAACTGAAATTTTCTGTCAGAATTGTTGCTAAAATCAAAACTACAATATGCTAGAATGTTTTTATTAATTGTTTTTAAGTTAAAACAATTGTTCATAATTTAAAATCTTAGATGTTTTTCACTGTCCGGTATTGTATCATACTTAAATGTATACGATAGTACAATTCTTTGTATATTTGTATTTTCAATAAAAATATAACCAATAAATAGTATATACAGTAATTGATTTAATGAAATTCTTATACTTTTAATGTTCTAGCACAACTTTAAAATTACTCATGTGCTCAGCGCAGACTTCTAACACAACTTTACACATGTGCGAAAAATAGGTCACCAAGGATGTACATTTTTGATGTCCGAGGCCTTTTTTGACATGTCCAACGTCTAAACGTCCAAGTTTCCAAGGCTTATCCAAGCTCTAATGATTAAATAATTTATTTAAAAACAGTGATGATATATATATTTAATTCTGAACAGTTTTACTTAAAAGTTAAAAGAGATTATTATTTTAATAAAATTTTAAGAGTAACTTTAATATTTAAAAATGTTCAAATTTTGTCAAGGACTGTCCAGTGACATCCCTACGGGTCATAATACGTATCATTTGAACTACTATTTTGAATAACATTAGACTACTAATCTAAATAATATCATAAACCTACTAAACTTAATTAGACTAGACGAACTATTTAACATCTCTAATGCAGTAATGTTACAAAAGATATAAAGTTATATCCTTGCATTTTACAGTATATAGTTTGTAGATCATTCAATTAGGATTACATTAGAATTTACTAGTTTATTTTGTTAATCGTATTTATGCATATTTGTTTTATTATAGAGTGGCGTTTTACGTCTGGCGCAGGAAGGATAGATATGCTCAAATAAATTAATTAATGAATCTTTGATTATGTTCACTGTTTATTATAAATATAGGTCCTTGCCCCTTTCATTCAAGTATTACGAAAGGATTATACCAAGATTAAATTAACATTTTATTGGCTTGATCTAAGAAGAACATTTGAATACAAAATGAATATCACTAAAAATACAATTATCTTCTTAGTCGTTTGTATTATGGTTTCTGGCATTCTTGCTCAAAACTCAGAAGTTCCAACTGACACGTAAGAAGTTTTCAAAAGTAACTCCGAAAATTCAATGGTGTTTTATTCAATATCTTTTCTTCCCAATAGAGCTGCAAAAGAACCCGTTGGACCAACAGTAGCACCCTCTGATGCACCTGCTGGATCCGCCGGACCGACAGCTCCCTCTAAAGCACCTACTGAATCCGCCGGATCGGCACCATCTGGAACAATACCTGCTGGATCCACCGGGCCGACAGCACCCTCTGAAGCCGGACCGGCGCCATCTGGAACAACACCTATTGGACCCGCCGAACCGTCATCACCTGGACCATCACCATCTAGACTACCAGCTTCAAACTCCAGCAGTCCGGCAACTTCTGGTGCACAGGGTCCCGTTAGTACTCCTAGGGTCAGTTCGTGAGTATATATTTTAACTTTTTGGTTGATCAACATTCCGACAATTACTGAATTTTTTTAATTCCTTACTAATAACCATATATTTAATAAATACAATATTACTGTATTATTACTATTGTTAATATAAAGTTCAACAACTGCACCTTCAGTCATCACTGCTGCTGCTTCAGAGGTTCGCGTTAACTGTTTAGAATTGATCACAGGATCTTTTATTGCTTTGTTCATTTTTGGGTTATTATATTAAATTTTTGATAGAGTAGTTTATATATAATCAAAACTTCTTTGATTATATAACATGCTTACAGTACAAATGGACGTTTGTAAAATATAGATTTTCTATACAATTTTAAAAAATTTCATCAATATACAATATATCACCAAAGTGATAAATTATAAGCTTACTGATTAAAATGTAACGAAATTTGTTTTTTGGGATTATTGTACGTAGCAAAGGACTATGCAAAGTAATACAAAAATTACGTTTTTGATGCTTTAGACCAAAATGGTTACTTTTTTGATACGTCCGCATCAAAAACTTAATCGGGAAATTTTTGTCTGTCCACACGCGCGTTCAAATTTGTGATTTAGTGTAACAAAAAACATGCAAATTTTACGCGTTTGTGCGGATCAATAATATTACGCATTTTTCTAGTACAGACGTAACATTTATAACGAATAATGCTATACAGATAATATTTTGTACATATGAGCTGAATGCTACAAGGGGAAATTAACAAAAAAAATTTTGAAAAATAAATTTGTTATAAATTTTTATAAATTTTATAATAAATAATAAGACAATACTGCTGACTAAAGAAAACTGCGATTACCCATGAACACCAATTTGGGAATTGTAAAGGAGCATCGTAAAACATGTGGAAATATACAAGTAACTAAATATAGCGTGTTGGGAAGCAAAATCCAGGTAATACATAAGTATGATATGGAATGTTCTCGTACGCGATATAATATATTTAATAAAATAGCGAGGCATTGGCCCTTAAAAAAAAGCCATACTGCAAGATTTTATTAATACAACTGCTTTTGTGTCTTAAGTGTAAATAATTCTACTAATTTTATTTTAAATTGATAAAAATTTGTCAATTTTTCCTCTTTGTAACATCTAACCCATATGCACTTTAAACCATAATTTGAACAGATTAATGTTAAGACGTGTACATAAAGCTGCCAATGTATCATGTCAACAATAAAATAATAAATTTGTAAAGCATAAATAGATTATAGCTACCTTCTAAAAATATATATAGTCCATAGTAAAACAAAGCAAATATGGGGAAAATGCATTAATAGGGATACACAAGTAAAACGATATTCAATATGGATTACCCGATTGTTGCCAAATTTAACTTATTGGTATCCTTATCCTATTGCTTGCAGATTTTGGCACCAAAGGAGGTCAATAAGAATCAATAGAGGATTAATCAATAGGTTTGTGTATTTAAAATCTTAACCAATTGATTAAATTTGGCAATAATCTGATTTCTGATTGACCTTCTTTGGTGCCAAAATCTTTAAGCAATAGAATATCAATGTAATTTTGGCAGCAGCAATGAGTAACCCTAATTTTAATTGTATTTATAAATATAGGACCTTGTTGCTTTCATTGTCCTTGTTCCTTTCATTCAAGTATTACGAAAGGGTTATGCCAAGATTAAATTAACATTTTATCTGCTTGACCTAAATACAAGAACCAGGTTCACATTTTAATATGAAATGAATATCATTAAAAATATATTTTTATGGTTTCCGGCATTCTTGCTCAAAAATCAAGTTCAGAAGCACCATCAGGAGCACCAGGAATAAAATCAAGATTAGAAGCACTATCAGGAGCACCAGGAATAAAATCAAGATTAGAAGCACCATCAGGAGCACCATCAGCAGCACCAGCAGCACCATCACCACCAGGAGGACCATCACCAGTAGGACCACAACCACCAGCGGCACCAACCGGAGCAGCAGCACCATCAGGCACATTACCACCATCAGGATCACCCAAGAGAACCCCCGGTGCTCCGGGTCCCACCGGTATGGTTCCTAGTAGCAAACCGTGAGTGTATATTTTAAGAAACTTTTTGGTTGATTGTTGTTTGGAATGATGCCATAATAGGATGATGTCCCAAAAATTTTAAAATTTAATATTAAAATAGGCCCAAATTTATACATCATCCCATTTCAGCATCATTCCCAACAATTACTGAATTATTTTAATTCTTTTAACTAATTATCATGTATTTGGCAATTACAATATTATTACTATTGCTATTAATATAAAGCTCAACTATATCTTCAATCGCCACTGCTGCTGCTTTAAACGTTCACGTTAACTGTTTAGAATTGATCATTGAATCTTTTATTGCTTTATTTATTGGTGGTTTATTAAGTTTGACCATTTAGTTTATATATAATCAAAACTTCTTTCGATTATATATAACATGTTTATAATGCAAATGAAAGGTTGTAATGGAGGTTTGTGATATAGATTTTCCGTATAATTCTTTAAAAAAGAAAATTCGTTATCGCTTAGTGATATATCATGTGTCGCTAAAGTGAAAAATTATATTGATTAAATTGATAACGAAATTTGTTTTTTTTTGTACGTATAAAAATACATATAACATTTATAATTATTAATACCATACAAATAGTATTTTGCACATATGCACTTTAAACCATAATTTGAATAGATTAATGTTAAGATGTGCTGTTGTTTTTGATATCCAAAGGCACATAATGCTGACAATTTTATCATTTCAACAATAAAATAATAAATTTGTAAAGCATAAATAGATTATAACTACCTGTATAAAGTTATATCTAGTCCATAGTAAAACAAAGCAAATATAGGGGAAAATGTATTTATAGTGATACACAAATAAAATGATATTTAATAGATTACCCGATTGTTTCCAAATTTAACTTATTGGTATCCTGTTGCTTACAGTTTTAGGTACCAAAGGAGAACAATAAGAATCAATAGAGGGTTACCTAATTATTGCGATATTGGGGTCAATAGGTTTGTGTATTTAAAATCTTAATCAATTGGTTAAATTTGGCAATAATCTGACCTTCTTTGGTGCCAAAATCTGTAAGCGATAGGATACCAATGTAATTTTGGCAGCAGCAATTGAGTAACCCTAATTTTAATTGTATTTACGATTTCTTATAAATATAGGTCCTATTTAAATATTATGAAAAAACTATGCCAAGATTAAGTTAACACTTATAAGCTTGACCTAAATACGAGAAACCAGGTTCACATTTTAATACGAAATGAATATCATTAAAAATATAATTGTCTTTCTCGTTATTTGTATTTTTATGGTCTTTGGCATTTTTGCTCAAGCACCACCACCACCAGCAGCACCACCACCAGCAGCACCACCAGCAGCACCACCATCAGCAGCACCACCAGCAGCACCACCATCAGCAGCACCACCAGCAGCACCACCATCAGCAGCAGCACCAGCACCGACCGGAGCAGCACCACCACCGGCAGCACCACCACCATCTGCAGCAGCACCAGCACCGACCGGAGCAGCACCACCACCGGCAGCACCACCGGCACCAACCGGAGCAGCACCACCATCCGGAGCAGCACCAGCACCATCCGGAGCAGCACCAGCACCATCAGGAGCACCCAAGGAAACCCCCGGTGCCCCAATTCCTGGTGCTCCGGGTCCCACCGGCACGGTTCCTAGAAGGAAATCGTGAGTGTATATTTAAGAAACTTTTTGGTTGATTGTTGTTTGGAATGATGCCGTAATAGGATGATGTCCCAAAATTTTTAAAATTTAATATTAAAATAGGCTCAAATTTCAGCATCATCCCATTTCTCATCATTCTCAACAATTATTAATTTTTTTAACTAATTATCATATATTTGACAATTACAATATTATTACTATTGCTATTAATATAAAGTCCAACTACACCTTCAGTCGCCGCTGCTGCTGCTTCAGACGTTTACGTTAACTGTTTAGAATTGATAATTGGGTGTTTTATTGCTTTATTTATCGGTGGTTTATTAAGTTTTGATAATTTAATTTATATATAGTCTAAGTTATTTAAAATATGTTTACAGTACAAATGAAAGTTTTAATATAGATTTTCCATACAATTCTTTAAAAAAGAAAGTTTGTTATCGCTTGGCGATATGCCATGTATCGATATAATGATCAATTATATTGACTAGATTGATAATGAAATGTTATTTTGTATGTATAAAAAACCTTGCATTATATATATAATATTTATAATGAATAATACTATGCAGATAGTATTTTGCACATATATACCTTCAATCATAATTTGAATAAATTAAAGTTAAGATATGAGATGTGTTGTTTTTTGACATCCAAAGGCACATAATGCTGCCAATTTTATCATGTTAGCAATAACATCATAATAGTTTACTGTATCTGTATAATAAAAGTTATTATAGAATTTTTTGGATCTTGTTGCTTAAAAGTATATCCGGTCTATAATAAAACAATAGCAAATATAGGATAGGAATGCATTTATAGGGATAAGAACACTGAGAACTCTTATAAGACAAAGCCATGCCACATTTAGGAAAACTTCTATGACACGAATAGTTTACATATCATTCATAATCGATGGTTCTCATTTTCCCGATAACCATTTTACCGACAATTATGGTTGACCCACTTTATAGTCAGGATTAGCCTGATTCAAGGGTAGTGTTTGTTAGAATTAAAAGTCGAAAGTCGGTGAAATAACTATCGGTGATCCGGTTATAATAAAAAATCTATATAAACTAACGCTAATTGTAGCTTTTTGCAAAAAAAAATTTTTTTGAAGTCTACCTATTAATGCGGAAATGCCTCTGGTTAAACCGACATCTAGATATATCGGATAATTTCTTTATTTTTTATAACTACAGTGATGTGTAATCACACCAGAGGTGCTAAATTTTACAAATCAAAAAAATTATAAAATATAGTATGTATTTTGATAGATCTCAACAATTAAATTCTTTTTTTTTTTTTGCAGTTTGTAATGTTTTTTATTAAGTAGATAAAGTAATAAATCGGATGTCTGAACATCTCGCTCTATATACAGTCTATATGTATTTTTGTATTTATAGAGGGTGATAAATATTTTTCTTTAATAATTGTTTTTAAATATTATACATTAGAAAACACTAATAATACTATGCATATTCTAGAGGTCTCGGTCAAACGATATATATATCTATTGTACCCAAATTAGAATTGTTACAGATGAGAATTTTTATTAAAATCCTAATTCCAAAATAGAGAGTGGAATTGTTAAATAATCATCGAAATAAACTTTCATTTGTTGATTATAATCGAGCAAAGTTAAATTTTAACTTTTGATTTTAATAAATTGTTTTAAGTTATAATTAATTAATCCTTCAATTGGCCTTAATTAATAAAACAAAATTTAATTTAATATTGAATAAGATACTAAATCTGTTGATATTTCAGTACAGTTCTCTTTTGATAGAGATAAATAACATATTATTTCGGTTTGTGAAGAACCAAAAATATAATATAGAGGAGACCGTTACCAATAGTTTAAGCAATCTAAAAATAAATTAGAAATGCTAAAAATTATCCTAGGTTTATTCAATCGTAGTAATTAACAAAGATGGAAAACCAATATGGTAAATGACATTTTATAAATGATAATACACATATATATGATGTGTTATGAATGCGAAGAGAATATTAAACCTAAAATTATTTATTTCTAATATGATTGATTTTATTATTCCTAATATTTAATGTTAAATATATCGGTTTATTCAATGAATTTACATCTGTACTTATATTAAGTAATTTGATATAAATATTCGGTCAAAATTTTTCTGGGTTGAAAAATCTAAAGTATGTGACCAAAAAATGCTTAAAACACCCCAATTCCACTTACTATTCCAAAATTCTAATTCTTGCACTATAATATTCCTGCAACTATAGAACTATAAACAAAATTTCACTACACATGACGATCGACAATTGGCCAATATTAAATCAACAAAGCCGTCCGTTTTAAAATCATCATCCATTTTAAAATCATCATTTATGTAAGAACCGTCTTTTATTCACTAAAAATATTTCTTTAAGCGATTCTATTAATATAAATAGGTTTTTTCGTTATCATGTGAATGTGGGTAGGTCTGTGAAATATTACTAAAAAAAAAGAATATAGATGCAGACTTATTACGCCACGCCACTAGTTACGGCCCGATTGTTTTATTTAATAAATCGATTTTTTATACGTATAGGACGTAACTTGGTGATATCATAAGTCTGGTTAGAGTAGATATAGATAGGGATTCAAATAAAGGTCCGATTTCTCAAATCAGTAGATTATAAGCTTCTTTATACATTTATGAGTGTCACCAAAACATCCACATTTAAATATAGCCTATATATAAATGTATATAAATGTGTATGTTTTCTTTTAATTGTCCGGAGCGTAGCGACGGACACTCAATTTTTACGCATTAAGTGATACAAAAGTTACGTTTTTGATGCGTTTCGACCATCAAATGTTTCCTTTTGATGCATTAACATGATTATTATAATTAACGTATCAATAACGTAACTTCGAAAACAAGCCAATCACAGTTGAAGATCAGGTGTAACGTAACACTAACGTAACACGAACAGGAAAATTAAAAACAATCGTTCTTTTTTCTAAAAATCGCCCATAACTCAAAAAACTGCATAGGAAACCATCTTTAGTGCACTAACAAAAAGTTTTCCTTGGGAGATTTTACATATATTTTGCCAAGAACTAACGTTAATATAAGCGCTAACTTTAGTATTAACCAACTTTTAAGAATTTTATTATCGAAAAATTTTTGATGGTGCTTTTGGAGTAGTTTCTGTCCCTCCGCGTGACGCGTGATTACAAAACTATTTTGAAAACTACCGGTACAGTCCAAATATGGTAATGTTCCGGACTTATATCGGTTCCCGATTCCTAGTATATTATTAAAACGATGAATTTTTTATTACGACAGTCACGTGCAGATCTATAAAAATCAACCAATCAGATGTCCTATGAGTCAATCACTGAAGATCAGATGACCAAATGTAACGTGATGATCAAAACAATCAAAACAAATAAATATAGAGCGCAATTTGATTGTTTTTGTTTTTCATCCCCTGCTAAGTTCGCTTCTTATTCCTTGTATGATGTCCGGCTTTTCATCTCCTCTAATTGGGGTCTGCTGGTTCTGCATTAGGAGCCGGTTATGTACCTCAAACATAAAAACAGTGAAAAACCGCGACGTAGAGGTTTTCGTAGGTGAACTATAGTAAAAAAGCTTCGAAGAAGATTTAAAAAAACAACTACTATACTTCGAGGAAGAACAACCAGCTTCTGTACGGGAGATACGGAAGAAAGTGGTTGGGGTAGAAATATGAAGTGCTTTCGGTGCACTTTTTTTCTTTTTTGTAGGTAAGGTTTTAATAATTGTTTGTGCTTCAGCGCCGAATACCACGACATATTTTTATCTTCCCAACCGATGAGATACACCTCTACGTGGTGGTTGGGACGAGTAGGAGATATAATCTCCGAAACCAAGTATCTCAAAAACTTATTTACTAACGTTTATTTTATTTAGCATATTTAGTATATCGAAATTTATTATGTTTAATTATTTAACGTTAATAAAAAATATTTTATTTTAATTGTATGATTAATAAAATTATTGAATAAATTAATTGAGTGTGTATTCTAAAAATATTTAAATGTAAAAAATTTTAATAATGTTAATCGCGAAAATAATAGTAATTTTGTCTGCTTGCAAGTTAATTCGAAATAAGTATCAAATCAAACTTGATGTATATATAAGAAGTCTTAGCGATTTGAAAAATTTTATCGGTCATCACGAAAAAATCAAATTTTCGGTGCTATAACTATGAATATGTTAAATCAAATTTACATCATAAAACTGCTAACGGCTTTAAAATTAACATTTCAAAAACAAGAAAATCAACTCCGACTAGTCGAGTTAATTAAAATGGTTCTACCACAAGATCCCGACATCCAAAATCTCGAAACCATAATCCCGGCGTGACAATTAACATTTAAAGATTAGTAATCACATTAACAATCATTGTCAGACTTTAAATTTTAATTGTCACGTCGCGCGATGTCAGTATCGAGATTTTGGATGTCAGGATTTTGTGGTAGAACCAATTAAAATACATGGGACGATGTTTATCTAAATATCGTGATATGTTAACATGATAAAACCAATTTCAATTAACTCACGTAATAAAGATTGCATTTTACAAAAAGCAGACAATTATGTAATCCACTGGTATTAAATCTTACAATACACATTGTATATATTTATTATTATTATTATATTTTAAGTGTATGCTTGAAATCTGCAACATTTTCGAAGACAAAAAATAATACCAATCAATATACCCGTTTTTCAATCAATTCCAACCGCTCATACATTTCTGTTGAGATCTAATCAAAATTGCGCATACATTTCTGTTAAGATCTAATCCAAACCACTCATACATTTCTTTTGTTGTTGTACCGTCGATTTCAGCACACTTCATGTATTATTCAAGTGAAAAATAGATATGAATGGTTTAATATCTTCATTATTCATCGTTGCCGTCTCGAACAGAATTTGACAATATCTTTGATTGCATTATATTCGTGTATAAGACGGCAGTGATCATTCAAAATCTTTTGAATATCTATATTTCCTCTCATAATCCATAATCAAAGATCGAGATTAGGTCAAGTTAGATCATATCAAACCTTAATGGAATGAATTTATTGAATCAACTTCCCAACCTTTCCGCTTCTGCTCGCAATTTGTTGAGTTGCTCTTGAAGTGATTGTAAATGACG